CTTGTATTCTCCCCCCCCCCCCCCCCCCCCGAATATACACCCATTCATTGCCCCTCTCTGAACTCACGCCTTCCACGCTATGACCTGCTGTAACAAAAGTCAGTAAAACCAGGTACCCTGCAGGACTGTCCCTACATCCCTGCAGCATCAGCCATGGACTTTTTGGTTAGATGATGCTAGATCATTGTTAGAAAGGAAACCTGACGTTTGAACCCTGTTGGTACAGGATAGTATTTCTCCCAGCTCTAGCAGAACACAGTCCCATAGTTACACCATTTGAAAATCCCACTGGGCACCTAGTTCCTTTTTACCCGGGTAGGTAAGACAGGATACAGTTATCATATTGGGAATTCAGATACACTGATACCAGCTGACAGCTAAGAAACCAAACATAACACAGTCTCGACTACAGTTAACCCTTCACATGCACAGAAAACAGAAAACAAGGAAGGCTTTTGCCATTAAAAGTGCCGTGCCTGCAATCAATTAGAAAAGACATTTAAAATCTTGTCACAAAATATTGGATTTTCCCGCATAGCCTAATAGGTTAAGTACTAAAATCAGACTAAAATGCAGAGGGTGGTGGATGACCAGCTCCCCTAAGTTGCCTTTGAAAATCCAAGACCCAGCGAATAAAGTCAAGGAAAAACATTTACCACATTTTTTGTCGGTAGCTTTTTGCCATAGGATGGTAAGGGCTTTAGTGCCTGAGGTATAGGTAGTTCCTGGATGCTTTTAGGGAAGTGGGACGGGGGAAGAGTCTGGAGAATAGTTTGCATAGCTTGCAGATATAAAGAAGCAGGTGTGTTCCCCACCAGGCTGTTGAATTTGTCTTCCCCCAGCAAAGCTGTCCAGTGATCTGGATGCTCCTGCAGAACTTTCCGCATCTTAAACTGTGGGTTGGGCATGAAGAGCAAGAGGTAGTCGAGACAGAGCTTCTTTGATGCCACATTGACTTTGGAGTCCCACATCTGCTCCAGGATAACGTCCAGCGGGGTAAGCCCTTTACTGTCCTCTATCCTGGGAGAAGCTCCATTCCCGAGGAGGATGAGGACCGTCTCTGACCTCAGCAGTTCGCAGGCAAGGTGCAGGGGAGTCTTCCCATCTTCCAGATGAAAGCAGCCAGTCCTATTGATGTAGGAGTTCAAGCTGGGGAGCTTGTGTGCAATTTTGATGATCAGCCCCAGGATATCTCTCCTGTCATATGTGACTGCCATGGCCAAGTGAGGAGCAGAGGATGGGCAATAGCAGAAGTGTTCCCCAGGCACCTTGAGAGCCTCCTCTGGAAAATGAGACAGCAGATACTGAGCATAAGGCAGGTGGTTATGCACCACTGCATAAAGAAGGGCTTCTGAAGGTGAGTAGGTTCTTAGGCTGGCATTTTCCTCCCAGTAAAAATACTCCATAGTTCTCATGTCTTCCAGCATCCACACAGGCTTGTGATCTCTCACAGCCTGGTAGAACATATAGGATAAGAACTTGCAGTGCCTGCTCTGATCATCCTGCAGGCTGGCCTGGTTGCTGGCCATGGCTCAGCAAATAAAGAGCAGCTCCACGGAAAATCACTCCAGACTGTAAGATCCGTGCACTTGGAATGCAGATCCCGATGCTGCTGCAACCTTCAGGCTGTCATTGCTGCCTGGACTGCACTAGCTGGAATGCATGGGCTGATCATCTCCACCCATTCATTGTTTTTCCCCTCACTGCAGTGGTTTTGTTTAGGTAAGCACAATCCCACAGGCTCAGTTAACCCATGCCATGCAAGCAGATGGTTAGTAAGTACATGCCGCTCTGCGCGTGGCACAGGTTACTGGAACGCTGTCAGACTGCGAGTGATTTTATACACACAGAGCTAGAGAGAAGAGAGGGAGAGACTAAAATTAGCTTGAGAGGTGAGGCGGATTTCTGTCTGCATTTCGTGTCTAACCAGATCAACTCATACACTGCGGTAAGTGCAGTAGCAATATTCATCTTTTTTTTTTTTTTTGTCACTCACACACACGCAGCTCATTATATAGTAAAAAATATGTAGCGATGTAAAATGCTCCACAGCTGATAATACACATCATTATATGCTCAGGAAATCAAGGAATTCATAGCTGTAGCATTAGGAAGGGATCCCTATTTTATAAATAATGGTATGGCTAGCCACTTAGGAGAGACTGATGTTAATGGATTGTCTATAAAGCATTAGCGATGTTTAAGATCCCAGCATTAATCTGCAGAGAAAAGAGTCAATCGCTATGTGGAGTAACTATGCCCAGAGTCATAAAGCATATTGCTCGGTTTAAACGCCTGCCTTTGTTTAACAAGGACATATCTGAAGTGCCTCTCTATTGCACAGCAAGTACATAAACAAAAGGTTAAAGGCCAAACCCCACCGGTGGATGGAGAGCTTTGATCCGAGCATTTCTCAGATGTCATGCTCCAGGACTGGGGTCAGAGCCAGTTGCAATGGAGGGAAGTGGGATTAAGCAATCAGACGTGTGCAAGGCCCTGGTAAGAAACAGAAGACCAAAGCCTACTGGCTTGAGGGGATAATGGCTGTTGGATGAGACAGAAGGACCTGACCAAAATTCAATTCACAGAAAAGAAATTAACTAAGCACCCTTTAGGCAACTTGTGTTTAAGGAAGGAGAACTTCCATGCAGCTTATAAATCAACAGATTGCAGTAAGATGGTATCTTACCATCTTGATAGGAAAACAGGGAAAATACAGCAAATCAATAATTCTTTTTTCATTTAGCAAGGAGACAAACATATATTCAGTATATTCAAACTGAAGAGTATACAAGCCAGGCGAAGGGCTCTGGAGCGGAGGACCGCGACGGAGGACCTTCCCAAGAGCAGCAAAAACCCAGGGAGAAAGAGAGAGAGAGGGTGCCCCCCGAGCGGGACCCCCCGAGCGGGAAGCGTCGAGCCCCTGAGGTGGAGCGGCTGCTCTGACTCAGCGTGGGTGGGGCCAAGGGTGACGTCCAAACCCCCGCACGTACATAAGCAGCCCTTAGGGAGCGCGAGCAACCAGGAGCGTGGCAGTTTGCGCGGCAGGGCGCGTAGGCCGGGCGCTGA